CAAGGCTAACCGAAGGCTCCACATGTTGCTAACCATTTATTTAGGGCACATGGAAACCACCTCCCACTTGCCTCAGGAGGGAACCGGACTCGTGTGGTCTCTTCGTTTCACGAAACTATAAATGCACCAAATCTAGTTGATGAGAATTGAGTTGGGGGAGTCACAAGTTAGAAAAGTGCTAAATCTCCTTATCTGTGCCTGTCCGATACGACTTTTCAAATAAAGCCACATCCACTGGTGGCAGAAGCTACTGGAAATAGTTATCATGCCGGGGCCTTCTGTGAGTGTACTTACCACACAGCGTGGGGCGGAGGAGCGAGGCGCCATCTTGGCCTCCCAGGAGTGGAAAGTTCACTAACATAGGAAACAGATGAAACCTTCCAAACCCGTTTTTACTGCAGTCAACCAGTGAGTGGGCTGTGTTCCAGAGATCCAGACCTCTGTGTGCTCGTCTCAGCTGGGAATAGTCTCCAGGAGATGCTGGGCCTTTGTCCTCCCCAGCTCAGTTTCCTGAGCTAGAGTCAGGGAGGTTCTTTTCAACCGGAGTTCAGACAAACGTGTTCTTGAGGGCCAAGGCCGGTCAAGGAGCAAAACCAAGATCAGACTCACAAAATGTCTAGAAACCAGTCTGGTTTTGTTTGTTTTTTAGTGAGAAAAGTAGGACTACATTTCAGGCCCATTTCCCAGTTCTCAGCGCATGAGAGACTCGGCTCGCGACTGGTCGTGAGTAAACCTGAGGACAATGGTGTCCACACAGGGTGATTCCAAGTAAAATGGGGGTGGGGGGCGGCTTCACCCGCAGGTAGGGCCGCAGCGGGAGGTCTCGGGCCACCCGAGTGACCTTGTGGCGTGTGCGCGGCCCTGCGGGGGTGTCAAGTGGGTGGGCCCTAAGGGAGGGGGCCTCAGGGCCCCGGTGCCGCTGACCTCGGGGCGCCTCACAGGCTGCGCCCGTTCATCTGGCCATCACACCCCACCGCCTCCCCAAGCCCGGTGCTCTGGCCACCGGGCCACGTCGAGCCCTGCCGGATAAGCAGCCATCAGCCCGCACGTTGTAAGTGAAAGACCTGACGGCACTCGGGCAGACGCGCGCGCGGCCACCACGGCCAGGCAGAGGGCGGTGAAGGCCAGTGGACGGCGACTCCCGCGCGATGCGCCCTCG